TATATCTAAATTTAGTGAAAAAAGATGTTTAGTCACATGACGGGAGCATAGTTTTCTCTCATAACTAAAATGAGGCATTCATGTTTTTAAACAAAATTCTCTCACGAAGAAAAAGAGTCCTCTGTAACTGGACAGTGGGTTAACTGAACACAAAGGCCACAGAAGGCAGCTGAAATTCTCAGTTTTAGTGCCTAAACTTTCTTTCTCTCTAACAGCAGTCTATACACACACTGTGGCCTGCAGGGTTTGTAGTGCAGACAAACCCTGTGCCCCAAACACAAACAGGGTCACACCACAATAGGGCTGCCAACTTTCTACTCATACAAAACCAAACACCCTTGCCCCACCCCTGCCCCTCCTCTGAGAGCCTGCCCATGCCCCACCCCTTCTCTGAGGCCCCACCCCCCGCTCACTCCATCCCCTCTTCCCTCTGTCGCTCGCTCTCCCCACCCTCACTCACTCGCTCATTTTCACCGGGCTGGCTCAGGGGGCTGGGGTGCAGGAGGGGGTGCAGGCTCTGGCTGGGGGTGCAGGCTCTGGGGTGGGGCCAGAAATGAGGTGTTCAGAGTGCACGACGGGGCTCTGGGCTGGGGCTGAGGGGTTAGGAGTGCGGGAGGGGGCTCTGGGCTGGGGCAGGGAGTTGAGGTGTGGGGGTGTGTGTGTGAGGGCTCCAGCTTGGGGTGCGGGCTCCGGCTTGGGGTGCGGGCTCCATAGGCGCCAACTCCACGGGTGCTCCAGGGCTGGAGCAGCCACAGAGAAAATTAGAGGGTGCTTAGCACCCACTGGCAGTCAAGCTCCCCTCTCTTCCCCGCAGTGCATCTCACCTGCTGGTGGCCCCGCTAACCAACTTCTCCTCCTCCCTCCCAGTGCCTCCCACCGACCATGAACAGCTGTTTGGCAGCATATAGGAAGCTCCGGGAGGGAGAGGAGGAGGAGGAGCAGGAACAGGACATGCTTGGGGGAGGAGGCAGCAAGGAGGCAGGATGGGGGCGGATCAGGGGCGGGAAGAGGTAGGGTGGAGACTTGGGGGAAGGGATGGAGTGGGGGCAGGGCCTGGGGTGGAGGGGGTGGTTGAGCATCCCCCAGCTAGATGGGAAATCGGCACCTACGGCAGGCTCTGTTGTGGGCCCAGGGATGAGGGATTTGGGGCACAGGAGGGGTCTCCAGACTGGGGCTGAGGGGTTCGTAGTGCAGGATGGGGGTTTGGAGTGCAGGAGGGGGCTCTGGGCTGGGGCAGGAGGTTGGGGTGCTGGGGTGGCCTCCATCTGGAGGTGCAGGCTCTGGGGTGGGGCTAGGGATGAGGGGCTTGGGGTGTAGGAGGGTGCTCTGGGCTGGGACGGGGATCAGGGCTGGGGTGGGGGGGAGTGAGGGCTCCAACTTTGGGTGCAGCCTCTGAGCTGGGGCTGAAGATGAGGGGTTTGCGATGCAGGAGGGTGCTCTGGGCTGGGATCCAGCTTTGCCCGTTACTTTAGAGTATGCTCATTTATTAGGGTTATTCTTCTGGGTGGGAAGGGGTTTCTGTACTTCTATCAATGTACTGCTTGTGTCACTTGTGTTCTCATACGGAGCTCTACTTCTCCTTGCTGCAAGTTCCCTCCCAATGGAGCCATCTTGCAGGACCTAGGTTCCCCAGGGCTGGGTTCTTCCAGCCCCAGAATCAGATGAACACACTGTGACAGGTTTGGTCACAGAGACCCCCCCCTTGGGACTGTCACCTGATGTGCTGAAATTACCTCCAAGTCCATTTTTCTTGCCAGCTTGGGACTCCAGAACCCTGCCTTGTTGAGTCAGACACGCTAGCCTGCTGCAACACAGACCCAGATCTGATCCACACCCCCAAAGCTGCAGACTTTAACAAAAACTGCTCAGCAGGTCACCACTCTCTATTGCCCAGACACCCAGCTCCCGATGGGATCCAAACCCCAAATAAATCCATTTTACTCTGTATAAAGCTTATACAGGGTAAACTAATAAATTGTTTGCCCTCTATATCACTGATAGAGAGATATGCACAGCTGTTTGCTTCCCCAGGTATTAATCACTTACTCTGGGTTCAATAATAAACAAAATGATTTTATTAAGAATAAAAGGTAGGATTTAAGTCAGGGGTGGGCAAACTTTTTGGCCCGAGGGCCACATCTGGGTAGGGAAATTGCATGCAGGGCCATGAATGTAGGGCTGGGGCAAGGGGTTGGGGTGCGGGAGGGAGTGCGGGGTGTGGGAGGGGGTGCATTATGCAGGAAGTGGCTCAGGGCAAGGGGTTGGGGCACTGGAGGGGTTTGGTGTGTACGAGGAGGTTCAGGGCAGGAGGTTGGGGTGTTGAAGGGGTGTGTGGTGCAGCAGGGGGCTCAGAGCTGGGGTTTGGGGTCCAGGAGAGGTGTGGGGTGTGGCAGGGGGCTCAGAGCAGGGTGTGTAGGGGCAGCCAGGGGGCTCTACATGCTACTCCTGCCCCAAGCGCCACCCCCACAGCTCCCACTGGCCGGGAACTGCAGCCAATGGGAGCTGGGGGTGGGGGGACCGCCTGCAGACAGGGCAGCACACAGAGCTATCTGGCCGTGCCTCCACATAAGAGCCAGGGGGAGGAGGGAACATGCCGGCTGCTTCTGGGAGCTGCTTGAGATAAGCGCCGCCTGGAGCGTGCACCCTGACTCCCTCCTGGGCCCCAATCCCCTGCCCCAGCCCCAGCTCTGATCCCCTTCCTGTGTTACCTAGCAGCTCTGTGTTCTTGGGGAACCAGGGCACAGTACCCAGCCTGTCTGACTCATGAAAGACCTTCTCTCCCCCCCAGCCTCTGCTTGAACCAAAACCGATCAGAAGAAAGACTTACAAAAAGCAATGAAAAGGCAGTGGGAGACACACCTAAACCCCTTGGGATAACGGTGACAGGATTAAAGAAACTCTGCTAGCCTCATTTGCATCGAAGATGGGACAAGGTGGCATCTCCATTAGCATACAGAATGGAGAAAAGAAATTCCAAGGCAAGTAATGTCAAATGTGAATATAATTGAAAGATTAAAGAAAAACATTTAGCGGGCTTAGTGCATTTGGCAGCAGCACTCTGTTTATAGCCCCAAACTGTTTTGCAGGGCTTGCCCAGGCTCTGCAAAAGGTTGTTTAACAATAACAGTAGCAGCAAAACTGAAACAGCAACAAGCTAGAGCGTGCACAGAAAGAAAAGGGAGACCTGAGCATGTTTGATAGAGTTGCTCTTTTGAGCCTAACAGATTTTTTTAAGATTAGAAGACATTCTACTTTACAGGGTGTGTTCTCAGAAAATCGATTTAAAAGAAAGGTACATTGAACTTAATTATTTACAGTGCCTCTTCAACAGCAAAATTTCAATCTTAACCCTAGATTTCTTTCCTTTATAATTGCATCAGTTTTCTCTACCAGATTTCTGATGACCAAAACTCGATGGACTCTCCTACTAAATATTTTAGTTACTTTTTAATATCCAACTGGATTGTTCTATCATTTTAGAAACTGATAATCTATTAAATTGTACCTATGGGTGCTCCTGTTTACCGCACGTGACAGGCCCTATCCAGGATTACCCACAGGCTTCAAAATTTCTTACACACTGAAATGCATGCTAGTTGAAAATGAAGGCCAATAAATGAAACCAGAGCAAGAATCATAGAAATCAGTTACTGCCATTTCACACAAAAAAGCAATAGTTTTGAGTAACAAAATATACAGCACTACAGAGGATAGGACAGTAGTGCACTTCAGTACATTTTCCTTAAAACACTGCAGGTTATATAGAACAATGGAAAAATTACTGACTTAAGAGGACAATTATAGCTATTCCCTTCTGTTATAAAGACAAAGGTAGAAATGTATACTTAATGTAGCACAATTACTAGAAATCATCACAGCTTCAGAACATATTGTTTGCAGTTTTAAATTACAGAAAAAGATTGAGACTGATAGCGAAGAGGACAGACAATTAAAGGCAGTGAACTGGCCAACATGTTGCAACAGCCAGGGAAAGAATAAGGGCTAGTCTACATTAAAAGTGCTACAGAGGCGCAGCTGCGCCACCGTGACGCATTTGGTGAAGACGCTCTATGCTGACAGGAGACGTTGGTATAATAAAAACCACCTCGGCGAGAGGCAGTTGCTACGTTGGCGGGAGTGCTTCAGCACATAGGTCGGTGTAACTTACATCACTCAGGGGGGTGGCTTATTCACACCCCTTAGTGACATAAATTATACAGACATAACTGGTAGCGTGTACAAGCCCTTAGATGCGTGACCAGTTTATGTTGGCAACTGGGATAGGAAATAAAGAAGGGAGTTGAAATGTTGCTGCAATTAAAAGCTGAACAATTGATACTATGGGCTCCAGTAAGATCTTGTATCTTAAAATGGTAAAGATATTTCTCTGTCTCCAAATGGAGGCCTAAAAATTTCCCCCCCAATTTTTCCTCTGAAAAAGTCCTTGGTTCTGTTCAATCTATATTGAGACCCCAGACATACCATTAGATTTTTTTTTTAAGTGTGGGAATTCTTGGTAAAATAAATAAATGGTTAAATAGTAAACCCAGAAGTAATCCTGAAAAAGTTATGCCATCTTTCACATTGAAGGAGAACTCAAACAGCCCAATAGCTAAAGGAAGGTTAATGTGCCAGACCATAAGTTGGTGGCCAACTATGAAATCTTATTATGGAAAAAATCTGGAGAAGCAGCTCAGTTTACCAGATGAATAAAAATAACGAAGGATATGTTAACATGAAAACCAAATATTTGTTTTTGCTCAGTTCAAGCCTTTTCAGTTGAACAGTTGTAAATAAAAAGTTAGCAACTGTCCAGTCAATATATGAATGACCAGAATTAAACAAGATACTTCTGATTTGTACCCTTAAACATAGTAACACAAGCTCTAGAACATAATTCCATAATATTTTGCTATTCTAAATTTATTATTTGTATGTAATATTACCATAATCATATAGCTCTTTATCAATAGAGTATAACTTAGCACTTAATTATTTACCTTCTTTAAAATCTGTAAGATCTTCAGCAGTTGCACATGCACTCACAAATCAAGTTCACTGGCCAGAAAAAGCACTGTCTATTGAAATTAAAACATTTTATTTTACAATAATTAAACATTCAAATAAATTAAAGAGATGATCCTATGTGAATGTTGCACACAAGTTAAAGTACAGTTTTGCTTTAAAAAAAAAGGTTTCTCAGCAAATTCTAGATTAGCAAAAGGCTGATAGGTTGGTTTTTGGTCTGCCAGCTCTGCAAGCATCCTGGAATTAAGAGTCAAATTGGGCTCTCTCCTGTTTGTGTGTATAGGCCCCCTGAGTTTGGATATCCTGACTCGTTTCTTAAATTTCCTTAAAGAAAAACTCTGATAGTTAGTTGGATATATGTTAGGGAAACATTGTATTATATGCACACAAAGAAGTTTTCAAACGTTTTAAAGATACCTGTCACTATTTTAGTATCTTCATTATTCACTATCATTGCTGTCCTCTCTGTATGTCTGCCATTTTAATAATGCAGCATTTTATCTACTCACAGAAGTTCCCTTCTCTTTGAAAGTACAGGAAACTAGAACATCTGAAAATGTTATAAAGCAAGTTCTAGGTCTAGGATTTAAAAAGAAAGTGATTTGTCAGTTGGCTAGTAAATTGTTTAACATTCTGGGCACCGATAATATCTGAGTTTGGTTCTATCGACAAAATATGTAGAAACTCTTTGCAAGAGTCACAAAAGTTCTGCATTTATTTACATACTTGACAGGTGGTCTTCAAAATACCTTCCAAAATACCATAGAACAAGTAGTAGCTGTTTTTTTAAGAGTCACATATTATGTCAGACATTGCACTTGTCCAGACATATCATTTTAGGTTGATTTCATGTATTTAAAAACACATACAAACAGATGAAGCTCTAATCTCTTATAGGCCAGATTTTCCTAAGTGCTTAAAACCACTGACTTTAGCTAGTATAGTGCAGGCTCACTACCCCCCAAAAAACAAGCTTTGTGACCATCTTCATTTAAATTCTGCAGAAGGCTGGTATCTTTAATCACGTCTGAGGGAAGGCCTCAGGAAAGTCTTAGGCATTTATAGAGAATGACAGAAATTCAGTTGGAAAGTCACTTAAGGATGGGGGGGAATAAAATCAAAATATGGACTAGCTTGCAGTTTAAATAGCAACACTGGCAACTGTCTTTTCTTTTCTGCTAAGACTGCAGCATCCTGACATGAAACACTTGATAAGTGAGGGACCACTTATAATCAGTTAAATTCTGACAGGATTTACTATAGCAGGTGTAAATTTTGAGGTGCTGATTGGGTGGCAGAGCTGCTAATTAAAAGGAAGTCTGTGAGCACAGAAGTATATTATTGAAGAGTCTGAAAAGTGTAGTGGGAAAGTTTGTGGGCAATTTAACCTGTAAATTAGATTTCTATGGGGAAATAACCTTCATAGAAGTGCTAGTTTACTCTAGATTCCCTATTGAACAAGCTACAGACATTATAGTAGAATCAGGGCTGGAAACTCCAGGCAATTAAAGAAATAATATTGGTTTGTTTAGGACCTCATACAAAGCTTATTGAAACCAAAGGAAAGACTCCTATTGACTTCAATAAGCTTTGAAGCATGTCCTTAGCAGGCCACCCTCTTCCCTCTGAATCAGTATTGACTCAAGTGCACAGCATTGCATTATGCGGCAATGTGCTATTCACAGGGTATCTTGAGATCCTGCCCACTTGTAGACAGCAAATATTCCACATCAGGTCTCCCAAAAGTAAGAGTGTTAGACTTCGACCAGGATGTACGCCAACTGTGCAGTTATACTGTTAACCTAAAATTACCTCTGCAGTTCAATTTATTTTTAGTACAAATAATTTATACGATGAACTCTGCATATATTTTATGCCAAGAAAAGCGTCAAACACACTTTTCAGTATTTCACCAGCCCTACAATGGGTAAAATAAAATCTGAATGATATATTCAACCTTTCTTCCTTCCACTACTGAATAAATTATTATTGAATAATATTTTTCATTATTCAGTCAGGTCCACATTTATTTTGATGTTTACAAACTATAATGAAAGAGCTTCCATCTAGGGCTCTGGGTGCCCTTGACAATCTTTTCAACATACACCAAACACATGGACATGATTATACCACATATGAGAGCAGATATGTTAGACTGGGTTAATATAATGCAAGAGGACATGCATGGTGTGACCAAAATAAAGGTTAATAAAAGCAGGGTGTGCCCTCTTGACAAAAACATCTGCCTGTCACCTGCTGAAGCAGTAAAAAGATTTCCTTTCCATACTACAGGAGCAATGCAAGTGACAAGATAAGAGAAACATCTAAAAATATGTAAGTTAGGAGAAAAGTAACAATTTATTTTTGAAAGTGAGGAAAATAGGTCTGTCAAGCTGCTCAGCAATACAATGTGGGAGATTTAAAGGTATCCTAAATAAAGTTTGAAATGTCTCATTGAAAAGACAAAATCAATCCTCTATCCGCAGAAGAAAAAGTTTAGACACAGTATTTCACCAGGTAAGGAAAATAAAGCTGACATGAACTGTTGTGTTATCACACTTTTTAGCTAGTGATTTTTGCTTCTGTTTGGTGTAACAATGTTTCAAATTTATGACATATTCTGCGATACTTTATACAAAGGACATTGTATGCACAAATTAAATGAAAAAAACCCTCAAGTGTTCATGCAACACTCAAAGTTGTACAGTTAAAATTACAGTCAAGAAATGCAATAAAGAATGCACCACCAGCACTATAGACTGTCATATATTTTATGGGATATATTTAATAACATAAGTCATAGATACATCACTGACTTTATGCAGAACATAACTTACTAACTGGAATCCTGTTTGTGCATTTCCAGCTAGACTTTCTGTGATTTTAACTTTGGACCCCATGCACTGTCTGAATGTATTATTTTAAAAAAATAAGGTTTTTTAAGAGAAAAAAATAACAATGGTACAGAAAGTGTCCCCTGAGAGATGAAACATTAGGAGTCAGGCTTGTCAGATGGTGCCTGCTCTTCATATTCAACCTGTCAGAGTACAACATGCAATAGCCATTTAGCTAAGAATTTCTCAAATGCAGCCACCGTGGCCACCAGGAGCTTTTCTTGCAGCCACAGCCTCCTGGACTGTTATGGGCAGGAGGAGAGCAAAGCAGCGGCTCCTTCCCCTCCCTAGTGCTCCTGGATGCACCGCCTTGGTGTTGGTTGCTGGGGCTGCCAGCAGAGGTCCCCCTCCTCTCTCCCAAGACACTTGGGACACAACGCTGGAGAAGCAGGCAGCCGGTGAGTTCCCCACCTTTCCAGGAGCGGTTTGGACTTCAGCCCTGAGGTTTCAGGGGGCAGGCTCTGGCTGCGGGGCTTCGGGCTCCAGCGCTGGGCTCCTGGCTGCGCAGCTTCAGGTTCTGTCCTCCAGCCACAGGGCTTCAGTCTGCAGCCCCCTACTGCCTCCCTCGGCCCTCCTCTCCCCCCAGTCCAGGGCTTAATTTGTCCCCAGGCTTGCCGGGGCTGAGTAAGTCTGCTGTGAAAAGTGATACTTGTATGTTTGTTAAGATCACTTTTCACAACAGGCTTATTAGCTAGCAATAAATATTACAATGATTTGGACGTGTATATGTGCATATTTATTTTTTTCCTAAAGACAGGTTTCAGAGTAGCAGCCGTGTTAGTCTGTATTCCGATGAAGTGAGCTGTAGCTCAAGAAAGCTTACGCTCAAATAAATTTTTTAGTCTCTAAGGTGCCACAAGTCCTCCTTTTCTTTTTTCCTAAAGCTAATTAAGTATTTTAGGGAAAAGTGTGAGAGTGGCCACCAGCAAGAGTTGGTGGCCGCCCTCTGAGGACACCAAAAATTCTATCCTGAGAACCCCTGAGGCTAGGTAGGAGGCACCAGCCAATGACTATTTAACTTAATTGAAGGGTGCATACTTGTGAAAGGCACAAATTAACAGCGCATACTCTCAGTTTGCGTGAAATTTTTTTTAAACTGCATGCCCAGTATGCTATTTCCAAACATTTGTTACTATTTTCAAGCCAATTCTTTTCCAACTTGATCGTGAACATGCTTCTCTCCAAGGACTATTTACAGACCAAGCTTCAAGGTCCAGTCATTTTAGAGTTCTCTGTGTGTTTATAAAAAAAAAAAAAGGCGTGACAATGTTTTCCTCATACTTGCAAAGAAAAGAAAAGGATGAGAGGGAGTTTTCTCAAATATCTCACATGCACAAAACGTTCACTTTTGATTATACTTCAGGCATGGAAAGTTTCAGCCCAAAAGTGGAAACAGAGTTTTACTGAAACTGAACTATAGTTGTAATTATTGAGTGACTAGAACATACTTTAAAAGAAGGTGGAATAGCCTGTGTCCTGAAATTAAGTTAGATATGTAAAAATTAGCCTGAAATGAATACACTTCACAATCACATCAGACAACCTCCTCTTTCTCTTCCTGTGTGCATGCACATGTGTAAGGGGGAACAATGGAAAGTAACGTCTCAGGCTTTGTGCCTATTTAATAAAATTGTTTTTTAAAAGTTACTGATGCAAGCGAAACTAATATGGCCAGTTGTAGACCGGAGTGCATGTATGAGGGTTGCACTGTTTAACTAAACCAAACTGGTTAAATCAATTTTAGTTAAACTGGCACAACTTCTGTGTTTCGCCTCCAACCCAGTCGCAACACCACTCACTCAGATTTGGCCTGGAGACAGGAGCCATCCTAATGGAAGAGTGACTGGCTTACATTAAAGTGGTGCTACAACCTCATTCACTAGGCATGGGGGTCACAATGCCACACACTCAAATTTGACCCGGCAACCCCTCCATGATGCCAGTAGGGGCCTGTTTAAAAAAAGGGGGGAGGGCAATGGCCCCCATCTCTGGTCTGTGCTCCCACCATGCATATAGAAGGGACTACCTCTCACAATAACTTTCCCTCTGGAGGACGGGGCAAGAGTTCTCTCTCCATATATGTATGTGCAATGTGAAGTCTGCCTCCTTCTAACCCAAACTTTTGCTTATCTCCCACCTATGTGTTTGGGAGGAGGGGAGAGAATTTCTTCCCAAACATTCCTCTCTCTCCCAACTCTTGTTTTCCCTCCTCTTCTGACATACCTACCTGGGGAGGGAGTGTCTCTAGTCACTCACTATTTACTTTAATGCACAAAAGCTAAGATTTTTTCAAGCCAAAACAAACAGAGGCATCTGTGTAAGAACATCTAAAAAATTATCCAGTGACATCTCCAATAAAAGAATGTGACAGATACCTGAGCAACACCACAAAGACAGATTGGATTCCTCCCTGAGAAACAAGTTGCTGATTACATCTTCAACAGACAGAAGACCATAAACCTACAAGTAAAAAACTGAGAGTAGAGGGATATGTACCTGCTTTGTCGACTTTAAAATAGTACCCAGCCATGAGCTGTAAATGGTTACAAAATTGAAATGATTGGAAAAGATATGATAACCAAATCCATGTACCAATCTACAAAACGTAAATTAAAACAACAACAACCTGCAAACAGGCTTTCAGACAAGAAAGAAGGCTAAAAAAGGATGCAATCTTAATCCTACTTTTTGTCATTATAAATATCAATGACCTACGAAAGGCCTCTACTAAAGCATTTCTTAAACAAAGCCACAATAACTGAAAAAAATGCCTATCTATGTTATGTCCTAGGAAGATGGCACATAATGTCTATTGTATGACTTCTCACTCAGAAAGTCCCTGAAAAAAAGAGTTTACACTTGCTAGAAACAAAGCAAAAACATGGGCTCCATTGGTCACTCTGGAAAAGATTAAAAGCTCAAACCATGACCATAACTGAATTTTTTATTACAGCGATAAAGAAACTGAATATACCTTAAATTGTACATATCTAAACCTCACAATAAAGTTACAAGGCAGCATCCCATATAGGCTAAAGAAGCATTAAAATAATGTAATAGCACTACATAAATAACAGCAAAACTATTCAACAAAGTTATTCAAATCATTCTATATATGGGGCTGAACTTCAACATCCAACTACACCAACTGAAACAAAACACAGATACAAACCTTGTATCTAAAGCTCTGCAAACAAGTCCTCTATGCACACTAAGAAAAGGAGTACTTGTGGCACCTTAGAGACTAACCAATTTATTTGAGCATGAGCTTTCGTGAGCCACAGCTCACTTCATCAGATGTGTACTGTGGAAACTGCAGCAGACTTTATATACACACAGAGAATATGAAACAATACCTCCTCCCACCCCACTGTCCTGCTGGTAATAGCTTATCTAAAGTGATCAACAGGTGGGCCATTTCCAGCACAAATCCAGGTTTTCTCACCCTCCACCCCCCCACACAAATTCACTCTCCTGCTGGTGCTAGCCCATCCAAAGTGACAACTCTTTACATAATCAAGTCGGGCTATTTCCTGCATAGATCCAGGTTTTCTCACTTCCCCCCCACCCCCATACACACACAAACTCACTCTCCTGCTGGTAATAGCTCATCTAAACTGACCACTCTCCAAGTTTAAATCCAAGTTAAACCAGAATATCTGGGGGGGTAGGAAAAAACAAGAGGAAACAGGCTACCTTGCATAATGACTTAGCCACTCCCAGTCTCTATTTAAGCCTAAATTAATAGTATCCAATTTGCAAATGAATTCCAATTCAGCAGTTTCTCGCTGGAGTCTGGATTTGAAGTTTTTTTGTTTTAAGATAGCGACCTTCATGTCTGTGATTGCGTGACCAGAGAGATTGAAGTGTTCTCCGACTGGTTTATGAATGTTAGAATTCTTGACATCTGATTTGTGTCCATTTATTCTTTTACGTAGAGACTGTCCAGTTTGACCAATGTAAATGGCAGAGGGGCATTGCTGGCACATGATGGCATATATCACATTGGTGGATGTGCAGGTGAACGAGCCTCTGATAGTGTGGCTGATGTTATTAGGCCCTGTGATGGTGTCCCCTGAATAGATATGTGGGCACAATTGGCAACGGGCTTTGTTGCAAGGATAAGTTCCTGGGTTAGTGGTTCTGTTGTGTGGTATGTGGTTGTTGGTGAGTATTTGCTTCAGGTTGCGGGGCTGTCTGTAGGCAAGGACTGGCCTGTCTCCCAAGACTTGTGAGAGTGTTGGGTCATCCTTTAGGATAGGTTGTAGATCCTTAATAATGCGTTGGAGGGGTTTTAGTTGGGGGCTGAAGGTGACCGCTAGTGGCGTTCTGTTATTTTCTTTGTTAGGCCTGTCCTGTAGTAGGTAACTTCTGGGAACTCTTCTGGCTCTATCAATCTGTTTCTTTACTTCTTTATGCACACTGAAACACCAACATAAATAGCTTCAGAGCAGAACTGAGTCATTTCCCTCTCTTAATCTATTTACAGGAACATGCATTGAGCTCTGGTGCCAACATATTGTCCATCCCTCCACCAAAAAGTACTAAAGCTCAAAAATCAAATCCAAATAAAAAGCTAATGCTATATAACATTACTACCAAGTCTCAACACTACCCTTCTGACAAACGAAGCATACAACCTTGGGCAGGAATTGGTCCTGCTTCGAGCAGGGGGTTGGACTAGATGACCTTCTGGGGTCCCTTCCAACCCTTATATTCTATGATTCTATGATTCTATGATTACCAGCAGGACAGTGGGGTGGGAGGAGGTATTGTTTCATATTCTCTGTGTGTATATAAAGTCTGCTGCAGTTTCCACGGTAAACATCTGATGAAGTGAGCTGTAGCTCACGAAAGCTCATGCTCAAATAAATTGGTTAGTCTCTAAGGTGCCACAAGTCCTCCTTTTCTTTTTGCGAATACAGACTAACACGGCTGTTCCTCTGAAACCTATGATTCTATGATTCTACCTCCTTTGAAACAGAACACAGACTAGGACACCAGCCCAACCTTTAAAACACTAATATGCGAGTTACTGAGAAGAACAAATACAAACTTTTTAAAAAAAAAAAAAAACCCACAACCTATAAATCCACACCCAGAATAATCACAGTAGTAAATTATCTCACCACAAACTGAGAGAAAGAATTCTGTGCACAGTGACACTGGGACAGCTCTCCAAACCCCTCCAAACACCAATGCCAGAGGCCAGATTGAGACTGAGCAGCATTTCCTCTTGCAGTCTCCAAAATCTGAAGTGTGAGAGAGAGAGATTTCCTTAAAATATCTGCTAGGATGCACACTTTCAGTTAAACCGAGATGAAGGAAAACTGCAGAAGCCTGGGAGACGGAGGACTGGCAGAAGCAGCCTGTCACCGGCCACTAAATCCGTACGGGGAAGGAACGACAAAGAATACAAGGTATTAAAACCAAGAGGGAAGCTGTCCCTGTCCCGGGGGCTGTCCCACGCAGGTGTTCAGTGGGTCGGGGGTTAAACCCGAAACCCACGGTCCCCGGGGCAAATGCTGATGTATTCCCCCCTGGCCCCCGCAGAGACCAGAGCTTCCCAGCCTCTGTCCATCCGTCCTACTGACCTGACCTGACCGGACCTGACCGGACCGGGTGGGGGGGAGGGAGGGAGGCTGCATCCCCGGGGGGGGGAGGGGGGGAGTCTCCTCGTGTCGGGACCGGCCCGGCAGCAGGATCTGTCCCCCGTGGGGGGGTGTCTGTCCCTGTCTCGGCCGCTCCCCGGGAGGGGCGGGGGGGGCTCTCCCGGAGGAGGAGGACCAGGAAACCTCCGCTCCCTTCCCTGCCGCGGCAGGGGAGGGGGGAGGCCGCCGCTGCCCGTGGAGGGGCGGGGTTTGCGACGTCACGCCCTCGGAGCTGCACGTGACCGTGCCCCACGCAATCCCCCGGCTTAACTGCGCCTGACCTTGACCGCTCGCTCCAGGGGCTGCCGCTTGTCACGTGCCGGCGGCGGGCGGAACTGACGCGCCGGAAGCTGGGCAGGCGCATGGGCCGGCCAGGGCCGGGGACGCGACTGGGACGTTGCAGCGGGCGCGGGGGCCTCGCGCTGCAGCGGCCGGTACGTAAGGGGCCGCTTGGGTCCTGCGAGCCTGCAGGGCCCGGGCCCACGCGCGCCTGGTGCTGGTGCGCGGCCCGGCGGCCTGTCTCGGCTCAGGGCGGCGTTTGTCTTTGGTTGCAGACACCATGGGCGCCCGCGGCGACGCGGAGTGCGGGGCGGGCCGCGCCCGCTGAAGGGGAGAAGCCGGGACCCGCTGTGCAGGCGTGAGCAGGTGAGGTGGAGCTGCTGCCGGGCCTGCCCGCCTTGCACAGCCCCCTGTGGTGGGGAGCCCGCGGGGAGATCAGCTGCTAGGTTGGGACCTGCTCCAAATACCGACCGTGTCTAGCGCGCCTCATCCGGTAAAGCTGCCGCGGCCGGAACGCGTGGGAACTCTGCCTTGGGTCGCAGCCTGGTGCGAGGATAAACTCCTTTCGGCTCCTTAGCACGCCTAGCTCCAGGAGACTAGTGCTGTATAGAGTGGCGCTGAAATATGACTACTTACTTCTGTGTAATTTCAAATGCCGACTGCATATTTCCTGTCAATCGCCATGTCCCATTCAAGGCCTTGCTTTTACTGTTCAAATTGTGTCAGCTGAACTGTGTCAGTGTTTTAATCCAGGTGCTACTACAGTTCCCATCATCAATGTGTAAAGGCTCCGTTATGTTCCCATCAGTGTACAGCATTCTGTGTCTCTCCTAGAATCCTTCCCTGGTCTCTGGACAAGTCTATACTGGGCTAGAAGTCAAGTCAGGGAATTTGTTCAACATAATCCCATCTGAATCCGTTTCTAAGGACTGGTCTGCACTTAGAATCTAGGCCAACCGAGCTATGTTGCTCAAGGGTGTGAAAAATTCACATCCCCTGAGAGAGAGTTAAGCTGACCTCAGCCACAGTATAGACGCCACTGTGTTAATAAAAGAATTTTTCCATCAATCTAACTACTGTCTCTCAAGGGGGTGGATTTACAACAGCAACAGAATAACCCCTTCTGTTGCTGTAGCAAGTATCTGTGCTATAGTGGTGGTGCTGTAGTGCTTGCAGTGCGGACACAGCCTAACACCCTCTCACTGGCTGTTGCAGATGGGGTAGAGTCTAGAATACCTTGACCGTGACAGTTTTGCCATAAAACGTATTAGATACCTCACTAGCTAGAATTATGTCCAGATGCTCTTTCTTAACCTCATGGATTGGGGTAATAAAATATGGGCATGCCTGCACTAAACCTTTTTCCAAAATCACCCACCTTTGGTCGCTCCAGCTGCAGTTGAGTACACTAGTATAAACTGGGCTGTTTTTACCACTGTGAACTAATCCTACTTGGACCAGGTCTAGATGACATGGCAATAAAATGCTTAATCCCTGCTTGTCCTAGCAGTCCCATAATTTCCCATGCTTACAAGCAATTTAGCAGTGTAGGTGGAGCTTCTGGGCACACTTAAAGCTTGTCTACGCTACCAAATTTTGTTGACAAAACTTATGTCATCACCCAAAAGTCGACAAAACAAAAATCGCCAAAGGGTGTTCATGCTTGCTCCCTCTGTTGACCGTTCATGTCCACATTGGGGACACCATCATCAACAGGGTGAGCAATGCACTGTGGGTATGTATCCCACAGAGGAGTGTTGTGGGAAGGAAGAGCTGACTGCTGCGTATCTTGGGATTCTCTCCGAGTTCTGCCACAGCCCCCTCAGCTGCCGAGAGCAGCATCATGACGAGCTCTATGAGCTCTCCGTGCTGAGGAAGGGCAAAGCAGCACAGCAGTCTGTCCTGCTCCCCTGCAGCAGTCGTCTGCCTGCTGCTGTGTTCCTAGCGCAGGGCAGAACAGGAGTGTGCCGATGATTTGCTCTTTGTATGCTCCCCAAATGGAGCAGCACACAGATAGTTCCTGGAGCTTTGAAAGGGGAGGGCAGCAGAGATCAAAACACTGAGCAGAGTGATCAGGGCAGGTATTGTGGAAGCCAGTTCTGTCCACAAAACAATCAGCAGTGTCTACACTGGCTTTTTGTTGACCAGGGAGGAGAAAATACAAAAGTCTCTCGTAGGGGTGGAAGTTTTTTGTTGCCAAAACTGGGCGTTTTTTGCGACAGAAGTGTGTACACTCTTGCTGTTTTATCGCCAAAAGAGAGTTTTTGGTGACAAAACTTGCTAGTGTAGACAAGCCCTTAGACTATTGCATGGTGTTGTGAACCAGTTTATACTGCAGTTCATTACAGTTCCCCAACCCCCAAATCTGTGTGAATCTACAATATATCTTGCAGGATCAAGGCCTGAGTTTGTCTTTTCCGAGAAGGAATCTTGATTCTGGGAGGCTGTTTGAACTGTAGTGTAGACAGCATAGGACAGGTCCTGTGTTATACCTTATGCAATAACAGTGTCATTCATTTTGCGCTTAAAGTAGATTGTGGTTATGTTCCTGAAGTTGCCATGTTTTAAAATATATTGTGATTAGAATAAACAATGTTAGTTGATGTCTGACTTCTTGTGTTCCAAGCAAAGGGAAAAAAAATTGAATTATCTGGTTTCCTTTTGGAAAAAAAATGAATATATAACTACTAATACGGTCAGCGTAAGTGTTGCAGTTTTTCCATTGGGGCTTTAATTGTAGTTTTACTTTCTATACCCTCTCCTTTCACCAATACCTTCTGATAGAGATTACTTTTAAAAATAAAGTGGGGGTGGGGGCAGGAAGAATAACAAGATCATTTGCAGGAAATTTATTCTTGGTATTCTTTTAACCTTGAGACGGTAGAGAGGAGAATGTCACAGATATTCGATGAACTGGTCATTGGGATCTTTGATGGAGATTCTTAGCCGAGGAATTGTACTTTGCCTGCAAGGGACTCTTAATTTGTAGATCTGGGGCTGAAACATTCCAACTAAGGACTTGTCAACACTACAAAATTAAGTCAACTTGAGTCGACATACAGCCACTGCGGTAACTAAAGTGATGGTTTATGTCCACACTTGTTCCTTCTGTTGGTGGTGCAGGTCCTCACCAGGAGTGCTTCCTCTGATTGAAGTGGGGCATTGTGGGATACAGACAGCTGGAGCCAGGCAGCCCTGGGGCTGACAACCTCAGCTGTAGGCATGGGGCTCACAGCTGTGAGCTGCCCCCATGCAGACAGCTGAAACTGAGCCAGCCCTAGGCTCAGTTTCACAGCAGGGAGCCTACCAGCAGTGAAATTGACATTTTTGTCAGTTTCACGGCTGCTGTTGTTACACACTTGGGCTCTGGCTCCCTTCACCATAGGGCTGACATCCCGAGCTGTTAGATCCATGTGGGGTTGACAGCTGGAGCGTGCTCCTCCGTCTCCGGGACTGACAGCCAGAACCAAAATGTGAAATAATAGCAGCCATGAAACTGAGAAGAATGTCCCTTTCACAGCTGGTAGGCTCCCTGCTGTGAAATTGAGCTCCAGCCAGGAGCCCTGCTGCTGCCTCCCAGTGAGGGATTGGGTCAGGGGAGGTAGAGAAGAAAGAGCCCAGATGGTGGCCATGATTGGGCTCTCCTCCTGCCCAGTCTGTCAGTGGGAGGAGGCAGTGGGGCTTCAGGCTATCATTGCTGGGGGGAGAACTCCCCCTGCTGGGGTTGACACCAGGAGCCCTGCTGCCACCTCCCAGTCAAGAGATTGCCTGGGGGGGGGGGAAATCCCAAGACTGACACCTCCTGGTGAGGGATTGGTGCGGAGAAGAGCTTGGGTGGTGATAGGGCTCAGGCTGTTCTCCTCCCCCTGCTCCCATCAGTCAGCTGTGGGGGAGGGAGGGCTCCAGCTGTCAGCCCCTTGGGACTGACCACCAACGGCTGATGTAACTAATGCATTGTCTACACAGACATTGCATCACCCTAACAACATCAACTTAAGCACTACGCCTCTAATGGAGGTGGAGTTATTTTGGCGTGATGGGTTACTTCTGTGGAAGCAGCATTGTAGTGTAGACACTGACCTTATTAGGTTGACATAAGCTGCCTTAGGTCAGCCTAACTCTGTAGTATAGACTAAGCTTCAGTATCCTACATTGCAGAATAAACTCCTCTTGCTTCTAAAACAAAGAAACTGAGGTAATAGTTTTAAAATGCAAACAGTATATTTGTTAAAAAAAAATTTCAGCTTACAATGGTTGTTACTATTTGCAGATATATTTGATATATATTGAGACATAAACTATGACTTAAGAATTTGTTTTTTAAAAAAACAGTCTTTAAAGTGTGTTAGTCTTCTTGTGGTGTGTGTGGGGGGTTTTTGGTTTTTTTTTTTAATGCAGGGTCTGCTTATATCGGTGTAGAAAAAGCTAGGTTTAGCTCAAGTACCATGTTTGGCAAGTGGTGTGTGCCGGTGCTGAGCAGGAAAGAAAAGAGAACAGGGGATTAAAAATGAGGCCTCATGAGTCTGAAAATACATCATGTAGGTGCCCTCTAGTTCTGTTTTTGTGATATTGAGGTGATTGTGAGACTGGGACAACACAGTTTACAACATTAAAGTATAACCATTTCTAAGTAGTCTTTTCCACTGTGCATCATGTCAGCAGCTGCCAATTTTTATCCAGTACACCAGCCTCTCACATGGAATTGCCAGTGTCTTATGAGGAGGCCACTCCAACATCACTGCACAGATTTAAATGCGTGAGCAGCTCAGCTGATGTTACTCTGTTTTATTTGGTTTTGCACGCTTTGAAGGGGGGAAGAATTGCAGATCCCACTCTGTTAGTTCTGCCTGCCCCATCCTAAAAAGATATTTATAGTTAAAATATATTGTGATCACTCTTAAATGTATAATAAATAGCATGGGCACACACATTTTAGTGCATCATTGCTGTAGATGGGTTGTTGTGATTTGCCTGAGTGATGTACATTACAAAATAGCATTTCAGTATTTTGGGGGTTTTTTAAAAAGGGGGTGGTGGTACTGGATGAGGAGGTACACAAGAAGCTTTTGAACCTGAAGTTTCTTTTTGAGAAAAGTGGAACACTGATTAGATAAGGACTTCCACTGAGGTAGACGTCAACATTTTTTAAGCTAAGAGGTAAATACTGATGAAAACAAAATAGGTAATATGTATTTTTTTAATTATTAATCAGAAATATCTAGATGTCTGCAAGTCTGGTCAAGAATTTCTTAAGAATTACAGGGTTTAGAGGGGTTTTTTAAGATGAAGTTCTAGAAAGATAATGCTATCAGTCGGGGAGCATGACTAAATTATAGATCTCTGAGCCAGTCAGGAAGCTTTTATTGGTATACATGCTCTGGTTAACATTTTTCCAGGCTTTAATATTGATCTTGGGAGGTAAACAGTTGAAAATTACTGACATGTGACTTTTTTTCCCTGTATGTAACAATGATAAATCCATGAAAGCATGTACCTTGGTAATATTATGCCACTGGATGGAGAGTTGGAGAGCTGGGCTTGCTATGTAGTCCAGCAGAGCTGCCCTCTTCTTAATTCATTAAGATCTTATCTTGAGTGAGTCCAGCAATGTGTTATTTCTTATACTTTTCTGATCATAGTTCATTTTTGAGCCCAACGTTCTCCACAATATGTATATGCTTCAATTTCATATAACCGATGCTTGTGTTCTTCAGAACTGCTGTTATGGAGTTGAAATAGAGAATAAATGCTTTTATGGCCTGTAGTTGTACTTTCTAAGTGATGGTCCTGACAGCTCTCACCTCACAAGCTAAATGATTTTTGGTCTGGATTGGTATTTGGATGAAACGCCAAAGAACCCTTAGGTGCTGCAGGAAGTGGAGTTGGTGATTTAGTAGATAGCACCTTTTTCCTCTGAGTCAGAAATAATGAGTGCCCCAGCGTGGTAGCTGTGGGGGGCACTGTGCTGTTGGAATGTCATGTTTCAGATGTGACATTGAAGAATAAAAATAGCTCTGGAATGAGAGAGGGTGTTAACCTCCTTGACCTGGACAAAATCCAATGTAGGTAGTTATTTCACCTACCTGAACTTTTACGGAAAGTTTAAAGGGATATGATATTTTGTTTACATTTGGTCTAGTCCTGCACCTACTGAACTCAGGGAATTTTCAGTTAACTTTTGTGGGCACAGTACTGGGCCCTTGTTGTCTAAATTGCTGTGGTCTGCTACCTTTCATCATAAACATGGCTGAATTTCACTGTTGGATTGAAGTGATTTCCACATAAATATGTCAGCGTAAGAGCTAAATTATGCTTTCTGATGTGTGTATGTGGCTTATACTGAACTCTGCCCACAGAAAGTTCTTCTGTGGGAGATTGCCTATATGTATGAAAAAGGCAAAATTTGGCCCTACGCTTGTGAAGTTATTTGAGATGAAAGGTGCTGTATCAATAGTAAAATCTTACTCCCTGTTGTAAGATGTGAGATAGTATTATTATTGTAGCAGTGTTGTTGAATTACTATGTCAGAAAAATCCAGATTTTGGCAACATTCAGAGTTGCTTTCTGCAGTTAGGAGGCAAACAGTCACATTTGGAGGAACAACTTCTTATAGTTTATTATGAACCCAAATTAAATTTAGCATTTGGAAAGCCCATAGCAGATCTTTGATGCTCCTCGCTTGGTGAGCAACAACAATGTGAATTCTTTACATCTGCTAATTCTGATGTCAATCTGCACATTTAGCATAGTCTTTTCCCACTTAGGACCTGATCCTGCAAATTGCTCTCCCCAGGCAGACCCTTATGTTTGGGCAGAGCACTGCACTTTTGAAGTAAGTAGGGCACTGCATGGGTCCCAGGGTTAGCCACATGGAGAAGTGTGCAAGACAGGGCCTAAAATTATTCATCTATTTTGCAATTAATATGAACATCACATTTAGCACCATGATTTCTCAAAGAAAATATAAAATATGCTTTAATCTTAATTCAGATTTTAAATCAAAATTAATACAATTTTCATTTAACTGTTTGTATTCACTTCTTATTTTTCAGAGTTCTTTGAAAAATCCTTAGTGGTCTTGACAATGTTACAAGTGACATAAATTAGCCTGTGGCACAGAATGATGGATTCCCAGAAGACTGGAAATGGTTTGCAAGTGATTGGACAAGGGACTGGTATAGGGATATCTGCACTCCACATGGTGGGGTATTTGGGAAAAGTCAGTTGAAACTTATTTTTCATGTGTGCAAAGTTCATTTTTTCTCTATTTTTGAGAGATTTTAAATTGGTCTTAATTTTACAAAAAACTTTTTATAAATTATTTTTCCACGGAAATCTTATAGCAATGGCGAAAGATTGTTCTGTTTTAAATACATTTCTCTTTGAATTTGTTTACTGGCATTCTTTTCAAAAGCATTTGATCTAGTCCTTTGAAAATCTGTGATTTGTCTTTGAGAGTTCAGAGTTTATATTCACTGGCCATGAATAACTTTGTTCAGTGCAAATAAAATGAATACCATTTCAATACATAAGGTAGTTTGTGTAAAAAGCTTATGAAAATTCTTATTTAAAATGATAGCTGGGGACAAATTAATTTAGAACTCTCCATTTCCTATGTATATTTTATTTGCTATGATCAAATCCTAAAGTGTCAAGTTTAACTTTTGAATTACATAGCTCCTGCATTATGAAAAAATACAATTGTTTTTCAGTGCTGTCATTTATACCTTACTGTTTAGGAACAGCGTATCATTGTATGCACTTTATTTTTTAGAACTGTAATTCTGCTGTAGTAACGTCAGATGACTGCTGCCCAGCCTGCAAAGAGAAGGGCCAGATACAAGCTTTACGGACTTACCGCATTAGTTTTCAAGAGTCTATTTTCCTTTGTGAAAATCCACAGGTATTATATCCTTTTTCTATGTTGTTGGATTGCATATAGACCTTTATCTTTTAGCAACCCCATCCTCTAAATCTGAGCATTTGATAGCTTTCAATGGTGCCCACAGCCCAACACATCTCAGAATCAGGCCCCTATGAGTTCATATGCTAGACAGTTATCCACATGTGATTAGACAGAGCTAGCATGTCTTTATGTACTAACTGTCTAGGCACAATTCTTGAAACTACAGGAATTACATGAAAAGAACAAAGGGTAGTTTGTGAGACAAGGCATCCTATTTAGTACTAAATACATATGTATGAAACAAATTACAAAAGCTATTGTTTTGTGTTCCACATTTCCAGTATTCCAACACAAAGGAGGGAAGATGGGAGGCTTATATCTGCAGGGGGTGAATTGCAAATAATTTGGTAACAAGTGTAGATATCCACACTTCCAAGTATTTTTGTTTCTTTTTAAGTTTAGTTGAATTTCCTTTTTTTTTTAATAGTTGGGTATGGTTGGAGTTGTTGGTGTGGGGGTTGTTCTTGTTTCTTTACAAGCTACAGTGGTCTTGTGAGGATTGTTACCCATAAGTTAATTGAATGTACCCTCAAATATAATTTCTCGTTAAAGTTGTAAATTCAGGCTTTCTTTTTAAATAGTTGTAAGATGGGACTGGAAGAGCAAAGAGCTCGAGTCATTTTCCAGCTTCTGAAGGTCTGCAGGAATAGTTCTTCTCCTTACAATATAGGAGATGGGATCCTTTCCTGGGAATATTATGAGGTCTGTGGGGAAGAAGGTGAAATGAAGAGAACTAGGAATATAGAGAGAGTATTATATTGGTTATTGACATTAATCAAGGTACCTTCTGTTAGTACGCAATCACTTTATGAGAACTATCAGAATGCACTTCCAGTCCTCATGCATATGTTGATTTCTGTGATAACATGTCAATGTACAAATGTTTTGTGTTCATTTGAACTGCATTGTTTGTATTAATTTCTACATTTTTTCACCCAAAAATGCTTTATAAATATCATTGTAATCTTCTTTCCTCCCTTCAGTGCATCTACCCTCTGGGCTATAAACCATTAAACAGCATAATAATTCCTGCTGATTCAGAAAATCATCAAACTCAGTGTACTCAGAGAAAAAGGAAGATTTTTGAAATCAGTCCTGCAGCTTCCCCCATTGAATCATATTCAAAACAAGCTAGGACTAACAACAATTTGATAGATGCTGAGCACACTTTAAATACTGATCTTGTTCTCAAGTATAATGGATATAATTTATGTATGACCCAGCCATGCCTACCTGATTTATCACAGGATGATCAGCAGAAACCTAATAGGACGGCTGAGTCTCTGGAGCATAATGTGGACGTGGCAACTGTTATCACTGTTTGTGGTGCACAAGAAAGTCCTGACTCTAATTCCAAAACACAGCTTTTGCCAGATTCTGAACTTTGTTCAATAAAATCTGAAATCTTGCATGGAGACAGCAAACCTTCATTGTTCATGGGGCATTTGTGTCTTCAGTGGAGGAACGTCTATGCTCTATGTTGGTTAGATTGTATTCTGTCAGCATTGGTACACTTAAAAACTTTAAGGATTGCTGTGACTGAAGCGTGCACTGAAGAATCTGTAATCCAGAGGCTGTTTACAAAATATAACCAAGCGACTGCACTCTTGAATGCCTGCCAAACAAATAAGCTAAAAGGTCAGTAATTTTGTTTGTCTTTTCATTTCAAAATCCTTTGAATGTAAGGAATATTGATACAAGTCTACAGAGGAATTTGTGTGTATGCAGAAGTTTTCATTCCCTTCTATTTCAAGGTTGCCAAGGGGTAGTTGCAATTTGTTGTTATGGAACTCAAGATTAAAATGTAATTTTCCCAGCAGGTCCTCGGTAACTAGCGAAACTATGCAAAGGCATCTCTGCACATTATGTAAGGGTGAATATGCACCCTCTCTAAAAGCAGATATTTGAGGGCAGGTCTGCATTTCAAAGCTAGGTCATCTTTGGGTATGTCTTCACTACCAACATTAAAGCACTGCCACAGTCTCCCAGCTCTGTGGGGGAAAAAAACCACCCCATGAGGGGAGTAGCTACCAGCGCTGGTGCACTGTCTACACTGCCACTAAAAATTGCAACCCTCAGGGGTGTGTTTTTTCACACCCCTGAGCAAGAAAGTTTCAGCGCTGTAAAGTGGTAGTGTAGACAAGGCCTTAGCTACATCACTCAGGGCTGTGAATAATTTCATGGCCTGTGTGATTTAGTTAAGTTGATCTGTCTCCTCACTCACTCAGTCAATGCAGCTAGGTCAATGGAGGAATTCTTCAATAAACCTAGCTGTGATGCTGTATGGAATCTGGGGGACACTTTAGGATATTATGAATACAAATGTAAAATTGCCATGAGTTATGCTAGATATGCCATGTAGGATATCTGCAAAAAGTTATAATTTGCCCGATACGATGATCTTGTTAAAGTTTGTATCACCTTTGTATTATGAGCTATAGATATATATGTATATATTTTAAACTTGTGCTGTGCTTCTGGGTGACACCCCCAGACAGTTTGGCATCAGCACTGCCTATCCTGCCTGATTGTCCATTAAGGACCATCAGCTACACAATTGACCCATTTGAGAGACGGCAAGAGAAAGACCTCCATGACTTAGCAAGGCATGCATGGGCATGCCTATGGAAAGAAAAGGCTTCCAAGCCATGTGCTGGGCAACTTGTGTTTGAAACGAAGCTCAAGCCCCATGGCAGAAGACTATAAAAGGCAGCAGCATCTTCTCCAATCTAATGTCTTCAATCCTACTTCTTACCTATGGAGAAACTTTGCTACAAATTGAAGCACTGAACAAAGGACTGAATGACCCATCCAAGCTGTGGATGTAGTCCAGAGGGACTTTCAAGCTAGCAAACTCACCAATACTGCTAGAAACATGATATATGGACTTTGAAGTCTTTGTATGTATGAGACTGCTTTAGCATTTAACATCTTTCTTTTTATTTTTTCTTTATAATCGTTTTACTTTTAGACACTAAAGGATTGGCTGGCAGCATGGTATTTTGGGTAAGATCCAAACCTATACTAACCTAGCAATGTGGCTGACCCTTTGGGGTCAGAAGAACATTTTTGTATATGTGAGCAGAGTTTAAAATAACTTCTCACTATACTGGACCAAGGTGCTGATTTGGGAGCCAGAGAACTGGAATGCAATAAGTGTGCTGTATGATTTCTTTTCCTGCTTCTTGGTAACCAGTGTGGGTGATCAGAAGCGCAGTTTGTGACTAGTGGGGGAGTTTAACTTCAGTGTTACCCATTAGTCTTGAGTGTCCACTCTCCCTTTTGCAGCCTGCGCTGACCTTTGGCATTTCCAATGCGGGCTGCCCCCAGGCACCATCAGGTCACATTGGCATGGTCTGGCCAGGATCCACAGAACCAAATCATTTGGGTTTTGGATCACAACCCCACACTATTCCAAATTTGAAATTTAAAACTCAGAGTGTTAAAGGTTAAAGTTAGTCACAATGAGTGATCCACAATCAAAACTGTGAGCCCTGAGATTCAGCATCTTCAGCATGAGAGAGAAATGGTGGAACTTTGGGCGCAAGAGAAGCAAGCCTTGGCCCAGCTGGAAGAAGTTGAGGAGAGAGCCAGGCAAGCTGAAGAGAGAGAATCTCACGGGAGGTGAATGGAGCTGCTGCAAGCGGAGACTGAATTTGCCAGACTTAAACTCCAAATTGAAGTGAAAAAGAACAGCAGAAACTGTATCATTCTGAAAGTCCAGTTTCTAATGATGTTGGTATATTTAATAATGATGTGGTAACTGTTTAATCAGGGTAATGGCCTATCCCAATTTAGGAAAAGTATGAAGGTAAATCCACTGATCATCTGTAACTAACGGAGATTTGTGAGGGGGCTGGTATATGATGCTAAGCGGTTGTATTAACTAGGTATGCTATAACAAGGAAGAGTGTATCTAGCCTTGAGATTGAAAAATAGCGGTTCGTCCAGTCAGAAAAGCCGTTTACATGGTGAAGAAATTTCTGAATATGTCTATCTCAGAAGAGAGTTTTGGGATTAGATGAAGAGCAGAAAGTTTGAAGTCCTTACTTTAATTATGGAGGCTCTGGTCTTGACTCCAAAGTTAAGTTCTGTTTTGCACTTAAAGCAACATTTGTTCTATATGACACATATAGCATGCCCTTCTCGTATTTTACAGCACTTGGAGTACAGAATTAATTTAATAGCCTGACTTCATTATGTAAAGAGTTGTCACTTTGGATGGGCTAGCACCAGCAGGAGAGTGAATTTGTGTGGGGGGGTGGAGGGTGAGAAAACCTGGATTTGTGCTGGAAATGGCCCACCTGTTGATCACTTTAGATAAGCTATTACCAGCAGGACAGTGGGGTGGGAGGAGGTATTGTTTCATATTCTCTGTGTGTATATAAAGTCTGCTGCAGTTTCCACGGTATACATCCGATGAAGTGAGCTGTAGCTCACGAAAGCTCATGCTCAAATAAATTGGTTAGTCTCTAAGGTGCCACAAGTACTCCTTTTCTTTTTGCGAATACAGACTAACACGGCTGTTCCTCTGAAACCTGTCATTATGCAAGGCACTGCATTTAGCCGTATGGAGTGGAAATCTATCAACTGCATGAAAAAACTTGTACAGATACAGACAGACATCATCTTCCTTTCCAAATGCAAACAGATGGACATCGTACCAAAAGGACTGAAGGTAAAAAATCCATTACAATCTACATACCACACAGACTATGCTGACAGCTTGTGCCTCACGCTCTCAAAGAAACTGCGGAATCACCTGATCAAGATCCTCTACAGCAAACAGGGAAAGATTAAGAATGAGCTCTCAAAAATGGATACTCTCATAAAGAACCAACCTTCCACACAAACTTCCTCGTGGCTGGATTTTACTAAACTAGACAAGCCATTTACAACGCACACTTTGCTTCTCTACAAAAGAAAAAGGACACTAAACTTTCTAAACTACTACATGCTACAAGGGGCCACAGCAATGGTTCCCTCACCCCACCTAGCAATATTGTTAACCTATCCAACTATACTCTCAGCCCAGCAGAAGCAGCTGTTCTATCTCGGGCCTCTCCTTCTGCCCCTCCACCCCCACGAACATGATACAGTTCTGTGGTGACCTAGAATCCTATTTTCGACGTCTCCGTCTCAAGGAATATTTCCAAAATACCTCTGAACAACATACTAATCCACAGAGGTCTCCCTGCCAACACTACAGAAAGAGGGATTCTAGATGGACTCCTCCTGAAGGTCAAAACAGCAGACTGGACTTCTACATAGAGTGCTTCCGCCGACGTGCACGGGCTGAAATTCTGGAAAAGCAGCATCACTTGCCCCATAACCTCAGCCATGCGGAACGCAATGCCATCCACAGCCTCAGAAACAGCTCTGACATCATAATCAAAAAGGCTGACAAAGGAGGTGCTGTTGTCATCATGAATAGGTCGGAATATGAACAAGAGGCTGCTCGGCAGCTCTCCAACACGAGTTTCTACAAGCCATTACCCTATGATCCCACTGAGAGTTACCAAAAGCAACTACAGCATTTGCTCAAGAAACTTCCTGAAAAAGCACAAGATCAAATCCACACAGACACACCCCTGGAACCCCGACCTGGGATATTCTATCTACTACCCAAGATCCATAAACCTGGAAATCCTGGGCGCCCCATCATCTCAGGCATTGGCACCCTGACAGCAGGATTGTCTGGCTATGTAGACTCCCTCCTCAGGCCCTACGCTACCAGCACTCCCAGCTACCTTCGAGACACCACTGACTTCCTGAGGAAACTTCAATCCATCGGTGATCTTCCTGATAACACCATCCTAGCTACTATGGATGTAGAAGCCCTCTACACCAACATTCCACACAAAGATGGATTACAAGCCGTCAAGAACACTATCCCCGATAATGTCACGGCTAACCTGGTGGCTGAACTTTGTGACTTTGTCCTTACCCATAACTATTTCACATTTGGGGACAATGTATACCTTCAGATCAGCGGCACTGCTATGGGTACCCGCATGGCCCCACAGTATGCCAACATTTTTATGGCTGATTTAGAACAACGCTTCCTCAGCTCTCGTCCCCTAAAGCCCCTACTCTACTTGCGCTATATTGATGACATCTTCATCATCTGGACCCATGGAAAAGAAGCCCTTGAGGAATTCCACCATGATTTCAACAATTTCCATGCCACCACCAACCTCAGCCTGGTCCAGTCCCCACAAGAGATCCACTTCCTGGACACTACAGTGCTAATAAACAATGGCCACATAAACACCACCCTATACTGGAAACCTACTGACCGCTATTCCTCCAGCTTTCACCCTGACCACACCACACGATCCATCGTCTACAGCCAAGCTCTGCGATACAACCGCATTTGCTCCAACCCCTCAGACAGAGACAAACACCTACAAGATCTCTGTCAAGCTTTCTTACAACTACAATACCCACCTGCAGAAGTAAAGAAACAGATTGATAGAGCCAGAAGAGTTCCCAGAAGTTACCTACTACAGGACAGGCCTAACAAAGAAAATAACAGAACGCCACTAGCGGTCACCTTCAGCCCCCAACTAAAACCCCTCCAACGCATTATTAAGGATCTACAACCTATCCTAAAGGATGACCCAACACTCTCACAAGTCTTGGGAGACAGGCCAGTCCTTGCCTACAGACAGCCCCGCAACCTGAAGCAAATACTCACCAACAACCACATACCACACAACAGAACCACTAACCCAGGAACTTATCCTTGCAACAAAGCCCGTTGCCAATTGTGCCCACATATCTATTCAGGGGACACCATCACAGGGCCTAATAACATCAGCCACACTATCAGAGGCTCGTTCACCTGCACATCCACCAATGTGATATATGCCATCATGTGCCAGCAATGCCCCTCTGCCATGTACATTGGTCAAACTGGACAGTCTCTACGTAAAAGAATAAATGGACACAAATCAGATGTCAAGAATTCTAACATTCATAAACCAGTCGGAGAACACTTCAATCTCTCTGGTCACGCAATCACAGACATGAAGGTCGCTATCTTAAAACAAAAAAACTTCAAATCCAGACTCCAGCGAGAAACTGCTGAATTGGAATTCATTTGCAAATTGGATACTATTAATTTAGGCTTAAATAGAGACTGGGAGTGGCTAAGTCATTATGCAAGGTAGCCTGTTTCCTCTTGTTTTTTCCTCCCCCCCCCCCCCCCCCCCCCCCCAGATGTTCTGGTTTAACTTGGATTTAAACTTGGAGAGTGGTCAGTTTAGATGAGCTATTAGCAGCAGGAGAGTGAGTTTGTGTGTGTATGGGGGTGGGGGGGATGTGAGAAAACCTGGATCTATGCAGGAAATAGCCCGACTTGATTATGTAAAGAGTTGTCACTTTGGATGGGCTAGCACCAGCAGGAGAGTGAATTTGTGTGGGGGGGTGGAGGGTGAGAAAACCTGGATTTGTGCTGGAAATGGCCCACCTGTTGATCACTTTAGATAAGCTATTCCCAGCAGGACAGTGGGGTGGGAGGAGGTATTGTTTCATATTCTCTGTGTGTATATAAAGTCTGCTGCAGTTTCCACGGTATGCATCCGATGAAGTGAGCTGTGGCTCACGAAAGCTCATGCTCAAATAAATTGGTTAGTCTCTAAGGTGCCACAAGTACTCCTTTTCTTTTTGCGAATACAGACTAACACGGCTGTTCCTCTGAAACCTAGAATTAATTTTGAGACCCTACAAGAAAATCTGTTTTGAGTTTAGAAAAATAATTTGAAAACCATTACCTAATCTGAGGCCATGAGCATTAAAATGTCTTCATTGTTTTATGGTATTGCATGGCATCGCTACAGCACAGAGCTAAGCTTGTTTGGGTACTCTAACTGTATGTTTTTCACTTCAACGTCTGGATTTTTAAGTGTGGCCTTAACTCTGAATTTTCCAGGATTATAATGCTTGGTTTGGGAATATTTACAACATCCCTATAATATTTTTTTTACCCTTAAATTACAGATACATACTCTCAACCTTCACTTAGGCCATTATTATGCTAGCGAGCTTCCAGCGGCACAAATGTACTGATGCAGCTGCACCACTGTATGTTCACTCATGGAGCCACTGTGTGCTCTCATCAACATAATTAAGACACCTGCACCAAGCAGTGATAGCTATGTTGGCAGGAGAGCATCTCCTGTCGACGTAGCGCTGTCCACGCCGCCGCTTTTGCTGGTGTAACTTGTGTTGCTCAGAGGGGTGTGTTTTTCACACCCTGGGCAATGTAAATTATACCAACAAAAGTACTAGTGTAGACATAGCCTTAATCTAACAATGTTTTTTGCTTGACTATTTAGATTACACGTGAATTAAACATATTTACACAGGCTATAGACAAGATTCATTTAAAATATTCCATTGAGTAGATCATAGTAGAAATTTGATTCCTTTAAGTAGTTAGATAGCTTTTACATCTTCTAATGTAATCTTTTACAAATCACCTAAGTAAAAGAACTTTAACTATTGTCATCCAAATGTTGTGGGTAAACAAATGTTAATAGAAAATGCATTGGTTTGCAGTGAATTGATTTGTGTATGTGGTATATAATATGAATTAGATTTGATTTTTTTTTTCTGGCTGAATCTTTTTTCTTTAGATGTTCTTCCAAAAGCTGAGTTGCATCTAAATGAAATCAGAAATGTGATATTTGCTCAACTTCAACCTCAGCTTAAATGTGAAATGGGTAAGTAATTTTCCAGTTCTGTGAATGCAGAGATTGCTGTTGTCAGTACTTAAAATGCATTCCATAAGAAAATGAATACAAACAACTTGTCTCCTGGGGGGGGGACATCAGGGGGCAAGAAGCATGGGAGGCGGGGGCCAGGCCACTTTTGGCTGTTTGGGGAGGCTTATGCTCAAATAAATTGGTTAGTCTCTAAGGTGCCACAAGTACTCCTTTTCTTTTTGCTGATGTAGTTAATTGTTAGTATCTTTCATGCTCCATCACTCAGTGAGCAGCTGTTTGATATCTTGTCTCTGTTCCCTTCTTTCCTATAGTGCCTGTACCTACAGGCCCACAAGAATCTTTAAGTGCATGCAGAGATGAAAAACACTTGTGGTTGTGCAAAGGGCAAGCAGAAATTTAATTTGCAAAAAGCAAAACCTGTTTCTTGTATGAACAGAACACTTATGCAACTTTGGGGAGTGGGGAAGATCTTTGTGTAAACACTTAAGTTCCTACAATTGTAATTTTTAGGCGGTGGGAAAAATTGAGAATAGTATATAACATACATACTTGTATATATGTAGAAGAACAGTATAGCTTCAAGGTCTTAAGAATCCTTTTACATTTGGGGGGGGAGGAAGGGGCTGTCATTCTGCTATGTACTCTGCTTAAGTGGGATGTCCTCCAGGGACTTGCTGTAGGGTTAATAACACTTAATGACAATGACTGCCGCTAATTGGGAATGGTAATTCCATTAGTGCTTGAGAGGAAGTGCAGCAGACTATCAAAAAAGCATTGAAACTGACTATACATAGTACTGTCAAATGCACGAAGTAACCACACTGAGAAGCAGAGAAATCTTTTTCCTCTAATATTTTAGTCGGTCATTTTAGAGCTTTTGACTGGAAAAAAAACCACCACTGAAAAGAAATGGGGTGGGGAAGAAGTGTAGCGAGGATGACTAATACAGGTGACGTGATACAAAATGGGCACAAACTTAAACAAGCAGATTAAAATATAACAGATACTTGATTAACCTAGGGTCCCTGGGAGATCTGGTGGTAGAGCATGGAACTCTTTATAAGACATGGAAACATAGTAAAAGTAATTTACTGCCGCCCCCCCCCCCCCCAAAAAAAAAAGCTGCAGTGGTTTTATGAAAGCGTATGTTTTATGAGATCCAAAGCTACAGCAGAACAGCATGTGCATAGAGCAGAGGTGGGCAAACTACAGCCTGCGCGTCTCTCCTGCCCGGCCCCTGAGCTCCTGGCCTGGGAGGCTAGACCCGGGCCCATTCCCTGCTGTTCCCCACCCCTCTCCCCTGCAGCCTCAGCTCACTGCGCCGTGGCGCAATCCTCTGGGCAGCGGGGCTGTGAGCTCCTGGGGCAGCGCAGCTGCAGAGCCCGGCCTGACCCGGCCGCCAGCCACCAGTGCTCGAGGCAGCACAGTAAGGGAGCAGGGGGGGTTGGATAGAGGGCATGGGAATTCAGGGGAGGGGCGGGGGTGTGGATAGGGGTTGGGGTGGTCAGAGCAGGGAACGGGGGGTTGAATGGGGGCAGGGGTCCCGGGGGGCAGTCAGGAAGGAGGGGGGGTTGGATGGGTTGGCGGGGGATAGTCAGTGGCAGGGGGTTGGATGGGACAGGAGTCCCTGGGGGGGGACATCAGGGGGGCAAGAAGCATGGGAGGCGGGGGCCAGGTCACTCTTGGCTGTTCGGGGAGGCACAGCCTCCCCTAACTGGCCCTTCATACAATTTCCAAAACTTGATGCAGCCTTCAGGCCAAAAAGTTTGCCCGCCCCGGCACAGAGGCTGCTAGATCCTCTTTCCTGCCTCCCCAGTTATAGGTAGGACTAGATGATCTCCTGAGGTCCCTTCCAACCCTGACATTCTATGATCGAACTCTGGATGGATGCTCTGCAGCAGAAAGCTGGCAGAGCAGCAAAGTTCTCCCCATTCTATAGGCTTTGTGTGGCTTGACATCCTCCTATCCTCTGTGGAAAGTGCTCACAGCAACTTGGCTTAAATTAGCAAATTGTTAACAATTGCACATGTTCATTTATTTTTCATAATATTAGAAATAAAATTCAGAGTTAAGGCTGCATGTCGCATGTGAAGAGCATAATTGACTTGTGCAGATGCTAATTTTTTTCCATTCAGCTGATCTCCATTTTCTTCAGACCTTAGTTTAAGGGGGTGTATTATTCTTTTGGTAACCATAGCTGTACCCATGAAGTTATTCCAGTCATATCTCATTTACAGTGGGGATCAGATTATAGCCTTGCAAATTGACATAGCATTCTAAGGTATAATCCTGTCTTCCCTCTCTCTCTTTTTTTTTTTCCTTTGAAGGTAAGAAGGAAAGTCCAGTATTTGCATTCCCTCTGCTTTTACAAAAGGATCCCCAAGTCGAGACACTTTTCCTGCATTCTTTTTCATGGATGTTTGAATGTTTACATTGTGGCTACAGCCACCAAGACAGGTTAGGTTTTTACCTAAGCCACATTTATTTACATGTATTATTGTACTTTCAGTCTTCACTTCATAAATATTTTTCTTCAAACCAACCTTGTGCACAAAGTGTATACATTTGGTAGGAAAGGAAGAATTGTGATAGTGAAGTTATCTGGTCACCATTTTCAAAGGTCAGCATTTGCAAACGGTTTCCAGGTGGTGTATGGTATAATAGCTACTGACACAATTGTATCCTATGTAAAAAAGAGAAATAACTGGTGATTCTGTTCTCAAATGCTGACTTTTTGGTGTTGACTGCTGTAAATCTCTCACATTGCTGCTGTTCTAATGAATAGCATGCCAGACATGACCAATAAATAGGTATATCTTTCACGGTTAAATAGAATTAATTCATCTAAATTGCATAAAGTCAGAAATGTAAATCTGATCCTTAGTCATATAATTGAACATTTGAAAGTGTCCTCTACTCCTTTTGGTGTTTTAAAATGTTAGACAGATGTGATGAGGTTCCTCAAGGTCATCTAAATGGCAGTTGTATTTAGTGTAACACATCAAAGTGTCCTGAATGGTTATGCACTCTGTAAAAACATATTCAGGAATTTCTTTAAAGCCATGTTTCATTAGGGTATAAATTGACATTCAAAGTGGCGAAGAAATGAGTCGCAGAAAATACATTGTTCCATTTTATTATAGTCTGTATAAAGGATTACTGATTGATATTGATGGGCAGATTGAGGCAAATTGAGTTTATTTATATCCCACTGGCAGTGCCAGGGATATCAGTGGGATTGTGCCAGGTGTAAGTCGACACTGCATGTAGCCTGTTAATTTGTGACCTCTCTTTCTGGTAAATGCTAGTATTTTTTTCAGTAGCTCAGGTAGACAACTGATCGAATTTTATTTTTCTTCTGTCCAGGTGTAGGAAGACACTAACAACATTTACAAATATAATCCCTGACTGGCACCCACTTAATGCTATTCATATTGCTCCATGTAATAATTGTAATGATAAATCTCAAAGAAGAAAAATGATTTTGGAAAAGTAAGTTTGAATCACTTGAGATCTTGAATATAAAATCTTAATGTTTAAATCTACACATGATGAACTTAATGTCAGTGTTCTGTCACCTTTATGACATGTTGAGAGACACTGAAGAGCAAGTTTCCACTAAATGTTCAGTTACCCAGGTTTGAAATCATTCTGAAAATTCTCACAGATGTTGTTAGAAATCTTTAATATATGTGGAGTATTTTTGTTCAGTTTAGCACACTAAGCAGACCTTTCATTTGAGCCAAGTTGTAAAGCCCAACACTGAATATCAGTCTTTCCAGAGCATCTGGTATTGAGGGATGATAAAACTACCACTTTATAACGTTCAATGTTTTCGTCTGACTTGTGGTTGTCAGCCTTCCAGGTTTGGCAGAACTCTTATTATTTTGTCTTTGTCCCAAAACATTTTCTTTATAGTTTTTTTTCTCCCTCCAAAGCAAATTAAGCTGTAAGATGACACCTCTATTTCACTAAAAGCTTATTATGTATTAAAATTGGAGTGCCCTGTTCCTATGAGCTCCCAGCCATTTGTGTATAATTTGTAAAGCAATCTTAAATTAATAAACAGCAGTAGAACAGTAATGCACTGAGCGAACTACCATTCTCAAAATGCATTGCTTGTGATTTCATTAATAGCTTGAGCCACTGTTTTATTCCAATAAAATGTTTTGTATCTTTATCAGAGTACCATCAATATTTATGATACATTTCGTAGAAGGTTTGCCACATAACGAGCTGAAGAACTATTCGTTTCAATTTGAAGGAGATTTCTACCAAATAACAGCTGTTATTCAGTATCAACAAGATCCAAAACACTTCAAAACCTGGGTTTTGAATCCTGATGGTAACTATTACAACTTTATTATCATCATAGATAAAGCTGCCTCTGTTACTAATTTTGGGGTTATCATAATCACTGTACTGTCTTAATAGATAATTTAAAGGTTTTCTTTTGTGTATAATCTAAATTAGGTATTAAATATTTGCAAATATGTTTACATTCTTTGGGGGTTTTTTAACTCTGATTTGACTGACTTAGTAATTTGCTGCTATACTTACTGTTAACTTCATTGGAAAAAGTCAATTGGATGTGATCATTTTCTCATCAAACTTTGGTAAAATTACAAGAAACATAATCTGGGCACACTGTTAGTTCTTTCGGGTGTTCAGATTACATGGATATTACATAGTAGTGTAGTAGAGTCAGCCGCCTCCTGAACGCCCCCTTGTGACGAGCTTGCTGTGCAGGTGCCCGGACTTAATTTCTCTCATTGTTTCCTCAAACTCAAAACACAACCCAAACACTTCCCTTCTGGGGGTAAAATGTATTTAGTCCTCTGGGTGCACACTGGTCCTCCAGGCCCATCCCAGTTGAGTGTCTGTCTCTCTCTCTCTCTCCCCCCTCCTAGGTAGGGAGTCCACAGCTCTCCTTCCCAGAGGCAGATCCTCAGACAGCAGCCACTCCCAGGCTTTACCTGGCTAGAGTTCAGCTTCCTGGCTGTGACTTCTCAACTTCCCTAGTGTTAGGATCTTCAATGCCAAAGCCTTTTTCACTTGCTATAGTTTGATACAGCTTCCTGAGCTTCCCCTTCTGCTTTTTATAGGGCAGTCACATGATCTCTCCCAGGTGTGGCTCTTTCAGTAATGAAGGTTGGCTGACCCTAGGCCTCCAGCCCTTAAGGGGCAAGCTACCCTGTTACAGATACCAGATGTGTCTCTTTGTGGGAAAAGCAAGTTCCCATGGGACTCGCAATGCTGTCAATGCTCAGTTTCTTCCTCCTGAATTTTGCATTTCTTTTAAGAGTAACTAGTAAGTTGCTGTTTTGATTTGTTGAACTATAGAGTACAACCCATAAGGAACTCCCAAAATTCAAAGAGAAAAAATAGTTGATTATTTTGGTCCTCATGGAAACCTGCTTCTACAGAGGGAGGAGAGAGAAGAGATCATTTTAATCAAAACATCCTTGTCAGCTGAAAAGTTGTCCATTTAAATTGAACTCTTTTTTTTCTTCATGCAACTCTGGCAGAGGATGAGAAACATCCCACTAACCGTCAATAAATTTAGGATATGTCTGCACAACAAAAGCTGTCCACCGGCTAGCCTACCTAATGAGATCCAATCTAGTATGGGAACCGTAACCATGAAGGCAGCTCAGTGTGCACTTCAGTGCAGGTTGTACAAGCCTGGCATAGCCCCTGGGTACATACTCTGCTCGCTAGCCCACTCTGAAGCTCATGGTGTACTGTCTCCAGTGCTGCCGTTATCCACGCTAGCTGGATTCAAACTAGCTAGCCTGTGCACAGCTTTTGCTGTTCACACTATGCAATGCGTACACACTTAAGGTATCTCGCTTTAGAATCCTTACTAAAAACATTATATAAATTTTTGTAACTGTTGGGATGCTTGGGAGGGAATTATCTATATGATCAGTTTCTCCCTTAAGCCCCTTCCCCACATCTTTATGAAAAATAATTCCCCAAATTCTCTTTTAATGAGAGAGGTCTATATGTCTGGTCTGTCCATATATTCTCAAACAGTATGTCAGTATCACTATCTTGGCCATGAGCATCAGTGTGGCTAAGGAAAAAGTTACTTTCCATCTTGGTGATGTTACTAGGAATTCTGTTGCTTCAGGTGGCCTAGTTAGAGTGGAAGACCCCCAACTTTTCTTTGGGGAAAGTGAGGGAACAAATAAATCCACTTCATTCACCAGGGTGTATGTAGCATTGTCAGGGAAAGAGTTAAAAATGGGTGTTTTTGGGTCTCAAAAGAGTAATGATCTGAGTTTCAATGGCCATTGTGTATCTTTGAGCCTCTAAACTATTCATTTTTTATTTTTCAGAAACTTGGCTTGAATGCGATGACATAAAAGGTCCATATTGTGAAAGACGTGAAAAATTTGAAGTTCCTCTTTCAGAGATTCACATTGTCATCTGGGAAAGGAAAGCATCCCAAGTGCCAGATAAAATGAGCTATCAGGTCCAAAGTGTAAAATCTGAAAATCTTCCTCTTAATGATGCACAGTCAAGTTCTTCTCAAGTGTTGCATCGTGATGGTGATAATGCCGTAGACGAAATAACTACAGTATTTCACAAAAAGGAGATTGTGAGCATTCCTGTTAATGAACAACAAAAAGTGGCCAGAGATGATGATGAAAATAGCTTGCTTTCTGGCTTAGAAAATTTGGCAGCTGATGATGTTATAACGCTGACACTTGTAGAAATTCAAGTTGATTCTGAAGGTAAACCACTGGACAATGGACAGACTGTGGGAAATCACCTAATTGCTGAAACCGGCTTGCTGAAAGAGCAGGAGTCAGCTTGTTCCGATCACACTCCATGTACAGAAGACGTTTGTAGTCCAACTACGTCTACCAACATGTGCACACCACCTGAAAATGCCTGTATTTCCTTACATCTTGAACAGTTGAACCTAGCAAATATTGCCTCTGCTGTTCCCACCAGAAACCATTGTAGTGACTCGTCCGCGCCATCACAATCTCAAGAGGCAGAGGCCAAGGCTAACCCAGTCAACACTGAGAATATCGTGTTAAATCCAGAACTCTTGCAGAATAAGAAATTAGCATTAATGGAGAATGTTATGCAGAAATCATCTAACACCAGAAACACAAGCAAAATTGTAGCAGACTCTCAGGCTGCAGCTTTGTCTGCTACAAATAATTCCACCCAGTCTTTGCATAAAGATCAAAAGAGAGGATTTGTAGGAAGTTGGGTAAAGGGGTTCTTAAGCAAGCATAATACCTTTATGCCTTCAAGTGCCTCAATTCATCATCATAATAAGAAAAGTTACAAAAATCCTTCTTTACTAAGAGCTGCTGACTTGCACCTCCCTACTAAGGGGGCAGCTAATTTTGGTGGCTTTCAAGCCAAAGGTACAAGCAAAACAACTGAGGCGGCGCCTAAATCAGCTGTTTGTCAAGGTGCAAATATTCCTCCTTTGTTAACAAACATCACTGGTCCTTCTGTACATGCTCGTCTCCCTGCAGTAAACCCTGTAGTTGATGGTCCACCTTTGAATAAGTCTGGAATTTCATTGGGCACCTGGAGTGAAGTAATTCAACCCAACACCCCCATCTTTAGTTCCAAACCTCGCCATGGTGAAAATGGAAATCACAAATCTGATGTGAAGGATAAAGAATCGGATGCCAAAACTCACAAGCTTCGTTTAAAACTGCTTAAAAAACTGAAGGCTAAAAAGAACAAGTTGGCTTCACTTGATAGGCTGGCAAAGACTCAGATGTGTAATGGAAGCTCTCCAAATAGAGATGTAGAAGATCTGTTACAATTTGGATCTCATCATGAAAGTGAATCAGTACAGAACTTATTGAATGAACTACAGTATCAGATTGATGTTGCAGACAGTGAATCTGTATATAGTACAAACTCCAACATGTCACTATGCAGTAGCCAGAGTAATGCAGCGTTTTTAGCAGACTTACTATCTCCTCCTTCGATTGTTGCTTCTTCAGAGCTTCCAAAAGATGAAGATGAGTGTAGATATTTGGAAATGGTGGATAGCAATACTGCAGTACCAGTGCATAGTGCGAGAACCAACCCCACATGCATCACTGTGACAAGAGAAGACCATAATTATTACAGTCCTGTAAAAGAAAGCAAGTATGAAGGTCATACAGACTCACTAATGAACAAATCCTGCTTGAAAAGACTTTCCTTTGAAAGTCCCACAAAGGAAGATTTCCTTGAAGACCTGTTCTCCTCCACAGTGTTGAACTCAATAGCAGGAGACATAGATTTACCTCATTTTGATGAAACTCTATTTGAAACTTGTTGAATTGTTGTAATATTTGTTTTTAACATTTGAGAATTTTGTATATCAGCTTTCATGCAAAGTACTATTAAATTATTTTCAAACTAGTTTATTTGCACACTGGCTGTACTTGAACATTTTAATCTGAAGTATTTGCTTCTTACGTTTCTTTGTGGCTGTTGAATAAGATTTTTAGTCTTTAACTTTCTCAGTTATTTAATTGGAAGAGTTAAGGATCTTTTACAGAATCTTTTAATGAACGTTAATCTTAATTTTTTTCCCCTGCTTCAATGTGCATTTGTGTTAATTTAGAAAGGTGAAAATAACACGCATTCAGTTTTCTGGACCACAGGAGTAATACCTATAAATTACTGCATTTATAACTATAATTTCAAACTATCCGGATTCCTGATGTCTGTTTTACATTATTTTGCCTACTGTTTAACATTTCAAGGGTGTTCTGCAGAGTTCCTTTACCATTGTCACAGCTGCTGTTTTACAAGATCTACCTGTGTAAATGCTACTCAAATTCAGCTTGAAAGAGGGATTTGAAAGCAGAGACTTCCCCTTATAAGGTGATGGCGCCTCTTAGGGCTTACCTTCTGGGTAAACAAGAGCATAACAGTGCACACCTTACTTAGGGTTTGGCCATGCATTTGCAGCACCAAATAACATTTAACATATGGCATCAAATTTTAATGGTTGTATATAACACTTAAAATATCCTTGTAAGTTAATATTAAAAAAAAAAAAAATTCACTTCTGCAAATCTACTTACCAGATAATTATGCTGTCTAAGGAATTATCTTTTAAATGAGGAATCATTTCTCTCATCACTGACTTTTCGCAGCTGGATCTCGTGAGTGAGTTTGTTGCCACTGATGGGAGTCATACATTCTCTCTCACTGAACTGAGGCTATTCCATTCCCTAATTTGGTCAGATGTATGTTTTTCAGACATGAAAAATAAAAAATATTTAATACTGCTTTTTTAGTAGTGTGATGAAGTGAGGCTGTTAATGTTTCCTCTGAATATTGTAGGGGTGCCTCAGTTTCCCCTATGCATTTCTTAAGTCTCTCTCAGTGGTGGGATAAGGGGGTGTAATTGTTGCAGAGCAAAGGGCTAGTGTACATAAATGGCTGACACACTGTCTCCTGGCAACTGATGGCCTGGGCCCTTCCCCCTGCAAGGTAATAGCTAAAGGGTTGGAGAACAAAAGAATCAGGTGACCTCCTGGCCTGGGAAAGGGACAAAGTCAAGAGGAGGAGGGGCTGGAGGATGAGTCAGGTTGGGGCTGGCTGGGGATGTGGAGTGAAGTGCAGACGTGGTTGTCTGGCTCACTGCCCCCCAAAATGGACCTAGCTGAGGGGTCTTGTTCTCTGTACCTACAAGCTCTGTTTTAGATCATGTTCCTGTCCTCTGATAAACCTTCTGTTTTACTGGCTGGCTGAGTCATGTCTGACTGCGAAGTTGGGGTGCAGGACCCTTTGGCTTCCCCAGGACCCCGCCTGGGCAGACTTGCTGCTATGGGAAGCGCACGGAGGGGCAGAGGATGCTGAAGGCTCCAAGGTCAAATCCAGGAAGGTGGAGGCTGTGTGAGCTTTTTGCCCTGAAGACAGTCTGCTCACAGAGAGGAGACTTCACCAAAGTCCTGACTGGCTTCGTAGGGAGCAGTTCCAGAGCATCGCCCGGGGACTCCGTGACAAGTAGTACCCTAAATACTACATTCATTGTATTCCTGAACCCAGATTCATAGCATTTAAGGCAAGAAGGGACCATTTGGTATACAGGAGCTCAGACTAGCGTATCTCAGGCCCTTAAATTTTACCAAGTTACCCCTGTATTGAGCCCAGTAACTTGTTTGACTAAAGAATAACTGGTTTGGCTAAAGTATGTTTTCCAGAAAGGCATCCAGTTTCTATCAAGAGAGATAATGTATCCCTACTTCCCATGGCATGTTGTTCCAATGTTCATCGCCCTCACTGTTATATTGTGTCTAATGTGAATTTGCTGACTTCAGCTTTCAGCCATTGGTTCTTGTTTTGCCTTTCTCCACTAGATTAAGGAGGCCTTTAGTATCTGGTATTTTTCCCCCATCGGGGTACTTACAAAGCAAAAAGATTGAGAGGTGATTTGAATGCCAAGCTAAACATTGAGCTCTTTTTAAAGTCTCCTTAGTGTAAAGCATTTTCTCCAGTCCTCAAATCCTTTTTTGTGGCTCTTTAATGCACCCCCCAAGTTTTCAGTGTACTTGTTGAAATGCTGACACCAGAACTGTTTGCATTCTTACAGTATCATCTGTAAATATCTTGCCAGTGCTGTATACAGAGGTAGAATCACCTCATACTCCTACACCTCACTACTCCTATTTATACATCTTAGCATTGTGTTAGCACTTTTTGCATTACAGTGGCAGCTTACATTGAGTTCCTTGACTGCTATGACCCCTAAATCCTTTTCATGTTTCTCAGTGAGCAGGTATGGCCTGCTTTCCTTGTTCCTAAATGTATAACTTTTCATTTGGCTGTACTAAAACACAAAAAGGTTTTGTTTCAATGGTTTCAGACTATTCTGTTTCACTGCCTTTTCTATTAGATCTAGAGATATTACTCATTCTACTCTTAAAAAAGGAAGATGAATGAACACAGTACACTAAAATTACAAAAATTAATGGTCTGCACAGGTTTTATAGTGGTAGAGCTTTTCTTAAAAAAAAAAAAAATCCCATCCCTCACCAAAATAATTACATTGTGGACAGTTGTTAGTATAAGGCAACTTTATAACAGTATGTGACATATTAGGGTACAATCCAGACCAGTGAGTAGCTGGGTCACCCCTGCCATGTAACCTGGGGTGCCCTTTACACTGCCTTGCTGCTGTAGCCTCTAAACTGGACTGCTCACAAACAGCCTCCAGCATGTAAGTCACGTGTGTGTGTGCTGCAGCCAACCCCACCTTTGCTCTTACCAACCTTAAAGACTACCACAGCTTATACCAATCCACTCCCAGATTTCCCCCCATAAACGTATGTCCTGCATTGCTAATACAACACCCTGTTTACTAACCACTCCAGCGGTGGTTAGTACCATTTTTCTCAACAGTGCAAGTCACAGACAGATGGACGCTGCACATGAATAAGGCCATTATTCATGTCAGGGAACAATATGCACATGATTTGTTACTCCAAATGGAGTTACCAAAACACTTCAGCTTGAACACACGGGATTAGAATCATAGAATATCAGAGTTGGAAGGGACCTCAGGAGATCATCTTGTCCAACCCCCTGCTCAAAGCAGGACCAATCCTCAATTTTTGCCCCAGATCCCTAAATGGCCCCCTCAAGGATTAAACTCACAACCCTTGGTTTAGCAGGCCAACACTCAAACCACTGAGCTATCCCTCCCTTGTTAGATATAGTTGTTAAACTTGTTTTATTGTTTTGAGAGATTTTAAGTGAATAGAAGCAATGCAGCATAAAAATTAGAACTGGTCATAAGAAAAATAAAGATGAAAATGCTTACTGGTGCCTAACTTAACACTATTAGATTCAAAGTAAAGTTTTCTCACCACATGCTTTCAGCCATCTTACTGACCAAACTCTTCAGGCCAGGACCCATTCCCCCCAGAGTCCAACAGCTGCTTCCTTTGTCTCTTCAGGTGCAGAGACTGAGAAGGGCAGGGGTAGAGAGAGGAGTACCTTGGGGTGTTTGTTCCTCCTTTTTATAGTTTTATAGCCCCCTCTTGAAAACACATTTCCAGCTGAGATCCAGGAGACAAAGAGTCTATGTGGAAAAATATTCCCTGCTGGATTGTTGTTTTTTTTTCCTCACCTGTTAGAACTTCCTTTGTTTTCTCTCCCTGCTTAATAATTCTGCTTACATACAAATTAAGGCAAGCACACATTGCTTCCATGGTTTAGGACAGACCGGACTTCTGCCTGGGCTGGGCTGCGAGGCTTGGAATGTGTGTTAACATCATATGAGGGAATCTTAAATTCCACATATTATATTGCCACATGCATTTTACCAGTACAGTACTGACCAGCAAACTGAGTTTTCAAATGATAACTTACAAGGCATACCTTGTACAAAGATTATTACAATAGTGTGTAAGGTGTGAACATGGGTGTATTTTGTCACAAGTATAACTTCTTTCCTTTCCCTTCCTTTTTAGAATAGGCTATGCTGTTCTAAGCAGTATTACAGTTGTATAACTGCATCTATAATAGCGGGTTGTATCACTTTAACCGAGTACAGTTAAAGCAGTAAAACTGTGTGTGTAGTCAAGCCCTTAAAGCAGAAGCGAAAGAAATGAGGATTATTTGATTTCATTATTGTTGTTCTTATGAATTTAGTCACTTTTAATGAGAAAAACTTGACTTTTTTCTGCAATTATCCCTTGGTACTCCATTTCTATCTATCCACCCAGCTTCTCATGGCCTCTCCCCCAAGTAAAAGGCCATAATGATATTTCTCTTTCCACGCTCTTAAAAGGCTGATGTGGTTAGTTTTGGACATATAAGGAATGACCATGAGGGTACTGTTGTGCAAAAGCCTGGGTGATGGTGAGTTGTGCTGTGACATTAATGGTCATTCATATTTCAGCTGCCAGAGTTGCATACGCTGAATCTGTCTCCTGTTATTTCAAGCCTCCCTGTAGTTACAGTGGAATGTAACTCTCATTACAAGACATGGCTACAAAAAGAGAGATGGTCTTGGATAGCTTGGGCCAGTTCTATGCAGCCTTTGAAAAATCAGTCCAGCAACCTTGAACAGACTCTGTGTCAGACTGGTTCTGTAACAAATATGGCTATGTACATCAAAGTAGCACTCCATGCAGGGGCTGTTTCTTTTAACCAAAAGTCAGTTCTTGCCAAGGACATGAGCTTCTCCTTGGTTTTACGTATCTTTACTAGTGTGTTGAGATAAGGAAAAAACAAGCACCAATGACTTTAAATGTAAAGTTTCAGAGTAACAGCCGTGTTAGTCTGTATTTGCAAAAAGAAAAGGAGTACTTGTGGCACCTTAGAGACTAACCAATTTATTTGAGCATGAGCTTTCGTGAGCTACAGCTCACTTCAGCGGATGCAATGTAAATAAATAAATG